CCCCTTGGAACGTTAAAACTAAATTGCCATCATCTGCATAAACTCCTCATTATTTTCATCAGAATCGGTGGAGGTTAAGTACCTCGAAGGTGTAAAACAAAATATAATATTTCCTTTTTGAGGTCGCTGAATCCGTATTTGAATTCAGATTAGAAAATTTTTCATCTCACTCAGAATCTGAGTACACTCTAAAAAAAAAAATTGTGTAAATTTCCTAGCTAAAGGTTAGGTTACTGATTTCTTACCTTATTATTTGCAAAATTACGTGCTCGGTTATTCAACGAATAGTTTGTTTAAATTTCAGACTTTTTAGAGTGTATTATATAGCTGCTGTGGTGTTCGTAAATTTACTACGAAAGTCTGTACAAGCTACAAAATACAAATCTGCTGTTTGATTTCACCCGTAGAATTGTGTAAAGCCGCTAACAAAAACGATGTTTACACACGAAAATGTGTAAACGAGAAAAATACATATTCATCCTGTAAATTTACCAAAAAAATTTTAAAAATAAACAAAAATATACTCGATTTATAGTCGTATTTTAAAAAAAAAAATTTATAGTGTGACTTATACCATGTACGTACATATGTACGTGCGATTTTAACTTTTCCGTCATTAATGGTAGATCCGATATGGATCCAACATTTTGAATTTTTAAAAAATTATTTCAGATTTTTGAAATTTGATTTCAGATTTTATTTTTTGGTTGCCATATTGGGTCCGCCATTTTGAAATTTTGGATAGAAATTAATTTTTTTGGCCAATATGACTTCAGATGTGGGTTCAGCGACCCCAAAGTTATATAGTATAATGACCGTTAATTATGATTTTTGTCGCTTATCTGGATATTCATAAGCGATTCATAGGAAAATTTTCAAAAAACTGGAAGTCAAATGGTGATTTGGCATCGAAAAGTTATTTTTTTTATAACCGCGGCATAATTTTCGATTCAAAATAAAAAAAAACTTGCCTTCGCCTCTTAAAAATAACGATAGGTCTTCAGCATTTTTGGGTAAAGCAGCATGGGTTGGGCATGTAATGGCACATATATACAAATGGATATATTAAAAATTTCAAAATTAAAAAAAAAAAATGGGGGTCAAAAAAATAAAAAATTTTTAATTCCAAAAATGTTACCAAATTTGAGTTTGGTTGAATTTCTGCGGTTTTGAAAAAATTTAATTTTTTTAACCCTGGTAGCGACCGCTAAATTTTTTTTTTTTTTATTTTGAACATCCAATAATGTCTTTATTTTGTACGTATAACAAACTAAATGGTCACCCTACACAAAATTTAGATGTATATATTTTAAGGGCCACCCTTATATGCATATATAGGTATTTATGAATATATATACTTTTTATGTATATGTACGTGTTATCATAAGCAATCACCAGCAAAAGTATTTTTTCTGCACTCCCGTTTTTAGCTTTCAAAACTAAACTGCCTTCAATGTATGTTTGTATTTTTTGATTATTTTTAACACCACTTTTGCAGCCTCTCGCTGATGAGTAAAATTTATTTTATGCCATTTTTAGCTATGCACTTTGGCTTTTTGTTAGCAGATTTACGAGTGTGTAACAAAACTGCCACGAATTACTACTATTCCGGTGTGTGTGTGTGTGTGTCTGTGAATTTTTACAATGCAACAATTTGGCAAACGATTCAACAATGTTCAGTGAATTTTTAAAATAGTTTAGGGCAAATACATCGTACAAAGTTTTCAAATTCAAAATTTTTATGTTGCACTCAGTCTGATTGAATTTTAGGTCAACCCACACAAAAAGCTCAATGCTCTTACTAAAATGCATACACACACATCCATCCCCATGTGCATATGTATGTACATTGTTACATGCAAAAAGGAAAGGAGGAAATCAAGCTAGTTGAATGTTCCGTTAGTTTTGATTATTTCTGCACTCCCGTATTCACACATACATATGTATGTATATAAAAATGCATCTACGTATGTGAGCGTTTGTTATTTACTAGCACGTTTGCGTATACTACTTTACGTTTTGCTGCTTTTGCAAATTCTAAAAATTGCATGAAAAGCTATATTATAAAATTCAAAATTCATATGTGCTCGTACATATGTTTTCGTGTAAAATAACACTACATTTTTTGCCTTATATTTACATATGCACGTATATATAACTTTCTTTGTTCTCACTTCAATTGCCATTATTTAATTGGTTCACAACGAATAAATATTTATTCGTCATTGGTTTTCATTGAACAATTGAAACTTTCTATTTGTGCAAAATCATTTGTAAATGTTTACCAGAGTGGCAATTAAGTGTCAACTGATGTCCGGAATGGTGGTATGCTTTGCAGGTTGAAGGCGCTTTTTATATTCAAATTGCAATTCTATTGAAGTATTGAATATAAAAGTGGCAATCGAGCAGCTGCGAATTGGAAATAATTGAAATTACTTTAAGTGCACTCACACGATGTTTATCAGATGCAGCCAATTAATACGAAACTATTTATTCAAGTTAGTTATTAAAAAATATAAATGTTAAACTACTTTTCTAACAGAAAGCAGCCCTTATAGGAATTGCGTTAGCCAAGCCATTCGAAACCTTGAGACATTAAACTATTAGGGACAAACAAGGCAATAAACCTTTCGAGCCAAATAGCAGCCGAGGAATGTCTAAGCCTTAGCAAGAGTTTTTTTAAACGTAGCCTGAACTTTGGCTAGCTTTGAAATAGTTTTTCTTCCACCAAAAATGCATAGAGGTAATAGAAAAACCTACGCAACTTCCAACTCTGAACTATTTTATTGTTTCAATTAAAAAAATTGCCCTTATATTAGAGATGCGTGTCATTGGATAAATTTCAGTTACGTATTCTCGGTTGGGAAGTCCCCTGCCAAAATCATCTAAACTCAGGGTACGCTGTGATACCTAATGAGAGCTATCCCCCTTGCCCTAAAAACCACTTATTTCTCGATAAAAGAGCTTTTGCCCTGGTGGCAATTGTCAGAGACTTACAGGCCATTTCTGACTAAGTCTGATGTAAGACTATTGAAAGAGAGTAGGAAAGAGGATTTGAAAGATTTTGTTTATTCTGACAAAAACGTTTTACAAAAAAAGCTGCCCTACCAACTTTCGTCGTGACAGAACTGACAGAAAGTCCTCGTTGAGTGCGCAAAGCGCTGGCGGATTATTTTTGATTTTATGTTAATTTTTAGATTTTTTGTTTTAAAAAGAAAAATATATTTTACAAACTTAAATTAATTAGAATTATTAACAATTGGAATTATTAACAAAACCAACAACCACATGATCAAGTGTAAATTGCAGCGGAATAGCTGCGCTTGTTTGTGTTGGCTTAACAAATGAAAAAATGGGAAAAAAGCAACGATAATTTACAAGGCGAACTTAGCACAGTGCGTAGGCAACTGGCTGAGTCAGTGGGATCGTCGGTTCGAATCCTACTGAAAGAAGTCTGATGAGGAAATGTGGTGATTTCCGAAATAGCTATCACTTCTACCATTTGTTCAAATTATTGTTGCTTTTCCACATAAACTTTTCATTAAAAACGGCCTCAAGCTCAACAAAAATTGTTGAATATAATTTTTTAATTGTTTTAATTGAAATTTATATTTTTCTTCTTATCTAATTAAATTTTTGTGTTAATTTTTGAATGTTACTGTTTTTTTTTTTGAGAAGAAGCATTTTTTTCATTTAAATTTATTTTAAGGAATATCGTATATTTTTTTAATTTTAGGAACTACTTCTATTTTACTTTATTTTCTTTTTCAATTAAATTTTTGGATTTCATTTGTTTAAAAGAAATCACTTTTTTTATTTCATTTAATTTTTAAAAACTTTTTTAATATATTTTATTTTTTTTTTTTTTTTCTAAATTATAATATTAAAAACAAAATCATTTTATTTTCACTTCTTTTAGTTTTTAGAACGCATTAGCTTTTTTATTTTAATTTTCCTTAAATCTAAATTTAATTAAAGTAAATCTTTCAATTAGTCTTGTGAAATATATAAAAATGTCTTAGAAAGACTTTTGCTATTCGAAAGTCTGTGGTGAGTTGAAAGACGGTTGCCAAAATGGCCCAGTTAGCTAATAATCATAAGTCGGGACGCCTCAGAAGTATTTTCAATGCTGTCGCAAAAGTTCTACGAAGAACTCTATGCGGGTTTCCTTCCTTCTTTATCGTATGTCAAGCAAAAAACTATCAATTTTGCCAACTTTCTGACCTTCCTCCGCAAAAATTTAATAACTTTATTCAAAAAGACTCCTTCACAATAAAGTGAAATAACAGAATAGCTGATAAACATCAGAAATTCTCGCTGTAAGAGCCCCTCGAATAACTTATTGAGTATACATTTTAATTTCTCTTTTGGAATTATTTCTCTTTGCCGCATCTGACATTAAAAGACTTTGAAAATTTCGAGCATCATAAAACTACACTCACTGCCAGTAATTAAAGTCAATTAAGTGACTGCTAATGCAGCAGCACTCAGCTTGCGACTTGAATTTCAAATTACTATTAAGTAAATTACATTTATGCCAATTTTGAAGTATACTTCTGCGCTATTCTGCTTCATTTCTTTGCGAGTTCATTTAGCTTACAAAATTACAAATGCAACAGTCAGCAAAGTCAAGAAAAAGTTGGCCAACTACTATGCCCAATTACCAACAGCAAGAAGTTTGTATATCTATACTATATGTATGTATGTATATACGGTAAGTAGATATTTTCAATTTTCACACTCGCCTTTCAGCAAAAATCGAAAATGCATCGCCAGGTCAACAAAGTATGCAATGGTTGCCGCCAACTACCATCGTCGAAATAAGAAATTCAATGAGGTTAAAAATTAGCCATTTACCAAAGTGCCACACCATTTTGCACAATGTCCTTAAAAGGAAAATACAATAAATACAACAACAACGAGAACAACACTGTAGCGCTACATAGCACTCGTCTGCATTAAATAGTAACAATAACAACAACAGCATGAATAGCACTTACCGCACATCACAATCAAGAGCAGCAGCCAACGCATCTCGTAGCTGCAGCTACGCGCCATCACCGCCACCATTGCCGCCATATTGTAAGGCCACATCGCGTGACAATGGCAGCCGTGTGACGTCGCGCGTCGTAGCGTAGAACGGCAAGTTAGTGCAATTGGCAAGCGATCGTCGGTCAGTTGCAATGCCGCGCAGTTCGAAGCAGCCGCGGTGGATATTGCGCGAAACAAACGCGTTGCCGCCGCCTTCGTCTCGTTATTGTTTACAGCTGATATTTTTTCTGTTTTTTCGTTTTTTATATTGTTTTTTTTTTGCTTTTTAAGCTGCTCACCCCGTTTAGTTGTCTGCTTATGCTTTTACTTAGACTTCTTTTTGTTTTTTTCTTTGGCGTAACTTTCACCCTCTCTCTCTCTCTCTCGCTTCACTCTTCACTCTTGACACCGGCAGCAGCTGCTTGCATTCACTTTTTCATTATTTTACTTCGATTTGCACAGCGTATGGCTGCAATGTGGCGCGGAATGCATCAGCATGTCAAGTCGTTAACTTGGCTAATTGCCAAGTGCTGCAAATAGGAAAACAACTCGTGTACGAAAGGTATTATCTGTTTTGCTTTCACTCCTCTTCAATTTTGCACTTTTTTAACTTTCAGTTATTTACTTTTATTCACTGACTTTAATTGAAAGGCGTTTGTGGCTGGAATGGCAGCATCGCTGTGCTAAAAATATACAGAGAGGAAACAGCGATTAATTTATGTAAATATTTAAAGTTTTTGCTTAAGCTACTTGCTTGGAAAAGGCTTTTGATAAAAACTAAATATTCATAATCAAAGCTATGAAAGCAATTCGGTGTTTTTTGTGAGTATCGTTATTATTAAATCTATTAACTTTTACAAATTGCTAAATCTAGAAGTGGCTTATGCACTAGCGTGATCCAAAAAAAGTAAAGGCGGAATACTGAAAAAATATGCTCCTGTTTTTTTTTTTTTGGTTAAATCAAAAGCTATTTAAAGGTCGCGCGTTATGTGACTTTATAATAGTAAGCCATAAATAATAAAAAAAACGACTACGACAACAAGTAACATCGAAATTGAATTTTTTTTTATTGGATAAACAAGAGCCCAACATTATAACATAACATAACATAACATTAGCAGTCTATACGACCTAAAGCAGGTTTATAAGTTCATCAGAAGAGGGAGACTTCCGAAAGTTTATAAATAAGTATGATAGCGGCTTTTGGAAGAAGAGTTAACATTTGGTGCTATTTTTTCAGAACATAGAAAGATATTGCACTGTGTTGTTAGTGGACATGAAACTAGTTTGCATACTAGTCCGTTACCCACCAAAAACTAAAAATCTAAAAAAAATGTACATAGCGCTCTTTGCAAGTGGACTACTCATCTATATCTATCTTATTACATTAAGCGAGCAATTCTTGTATATGTATATGTATATCCATAGGGTTCTCGGAAAGGACTCAAACGATTTTGATGAAATTTTGTACACAGATAATGTTTTCGATTTTAAGGTTATTTTAATAGGCATTATCTCCGAGAAGACTCGTACCTGGTTGCCACCTATTCGAAGTTAATAAAAAAATATTTTTAATAGGGTTGCCACCTATTTTGAATGGCATATTTATTTGATTTTTTGTTTAGAAAAAAAGGTAAAATATTACTATTCAAGAGAAGGTTCTTAAACAATGCTTTCCCTATACACAAAATATTATGTCTTAGGATAATAGTGTAAGGTTGCCACTTATTTTCGATTCTACACAATTTATCTAAAACATCGCAATATAGATATCAAACGAAAGGTATTGTTGAGAACTTTGGTCAGAAAATATTTTCCATCAGGGTAGCCACGCTTCCTTATAATACAAATTTTTATTTTGTTAATTTCAATCAACATTGTTTTATGTATACATACATAGTACACATACGCTCAAGATATGTACCATTCATTCCAGCATATTTCAGAATAGGGTTGCCACCTAAATTTTAGAGTAAGAAATTTACTTAGTAGATAAGGAAATCCTATAATTTTTTTGTTTTTTTCCAAATTTTTTTTTAAAGCTATCCAAATCTTGAAAACTTTAATAAGTACATATATGCACTCCGGGCAAAGCTCGGTCAACCTGATACTATACTTGGCCTGTAGATGTGCAAACTGGTTTCATTTTTTGGAAAAGAGTTGCCACCTGTTGAACAATTAATTTCAAATTATTTTAAAATCAATGCCATCATATCCGCACCGTTCGTTCGATTTTCCATAATGAGGTGTAAAATTAAAAGGCTTGGACTGTATGTGCAATAAGGTTTTACTTTTTTCGGAACGAGTTGCCACCTTTTAACAAAATTATATTCAAATTATTAAAAAATAAATAAATCAATTATTACAAAATGGGTATCAACCGAAATGGTTTTGGACCGCTTTGTTTCTTAGCTGAACTATAGGAGGGTTGCCACCTGTTTAAAAAATCACATTATGTAAGAAAAATATGTATCATCATATGGGTACCAAATGAAAGGGTTTCAGAAAGTAGTAATTTGAAAATGAAGAGGGTTTCCACCTGCTGAAAATGTCGAATTTAGTTTACTTATACACAAGTTATATGAAACATCAAAATATGGATGTCAAACGATTTATTTTATGAAATACGACCCATGGAAAGATATGTAGAAGTTATCCAATTTGAATTTGAATTGGACAATAAATACGGGTTTTTCAAATATCTCGACTCCGGCGCCACCTATCGAATTAACTCATCTTTCGTATTGCATTTTCATCGGTTTCTGAGCCAGCTGAGAAGTTTCAAGTCTCTATTTCATCGGGAAGTTGATCAAGAAACATACATACATACAGGACAAGTTAAATAAAAGCTTGTAAAAAGCTTATTGCGCTGCTGATTTGGTCAACCGGCATAATACTGAAAAACATGCAAAGCCATCCAGATATACTTTTTTAAACACACCAACATAAAAATTGCCCTTTTAACTTTTTATTTGACCAAATCAAAGCGTGTTGGCAAATCGTTATCGAATGACCTACGCGTTTAACTTACAAATCATCATCAGCAATGCCTTCCTCTTCTTTCACTTTTTACAGCTTTGCCATTTTTCATTTTGTGATTTGACTGATTTGTTTACTTCTCTGTCACCTAAAATGATGGGAAAAATGTGCAAACAAATCAGATAAAAAAAAAATCAGCTCGTTGGAAATGTTTCCGCTGCATGCTTAAGACGAACGCGCCGAGCTGGTGTGGCTGATGGTAGTAGCATCGTTTTTTTTTCCTGCTAAGATGGTGTTAACAAGTTGAAGTCAATAGAAAAGCAGTTAAACTGAAAATTAAAATTTCCGCCCTTGGCTTGTGAAACAGCGATTAGAATAAGTTGCATTTAAAAAACTATACTTTAATTTTTATCACATTTTATTTGCTGTATATAACGAAAAATATCCACTCATGCCAGACACGATTTTATATACTTTAAAAAGTCACTATCCGACTCTAGGCAGGGCTAAATGGCAGCTAAAGTAACAAATTAAGTAGCATGTCTGATTTAGGGCAAATAGTTGCTCGTACGGCGTTCAAAAAGTAAAAAAATGCATTAATAAAAAAGGTAAAAATTGCAGATTATAGTGGAAGAAATTCTCTAATCAACTAGTTTGAAAAATTTTTTTCGATTCAATATTTGAAAACTATTTTGAAAAGGAAAGATTTAAAAAAAGTTTCTAGTCGGCACATTTTTCGCAAAGTCATGGGCATTTAAAAAAATTAACATTTATTTTCAGAAATCGATATCTCGATCACTGCTTTACAAAAAAAAACCTTGAAAATTAAAATCAGGGAGGCCACTCTTAATTGATACTAAAACACAAAAAATTTTGAAAAAAAATGGAGATGCAAAAATCATATAGTGTCCGGTTTGGACTGGAATGTTCCATATATACAAAAGTGACTCAGTACCAAATTTATAATTTTTCAAATTATGCGCTAAAAAATGTTCTGAGATGTTCTCTCAGCGAAAGCTGGAGCAAAACTTTGTTTTAATCTGTCTACCCATTTGAGCGTTTTACTCCGCGTCACACTTTTTAAGTGACAAGAGTGGCAGTTACTGTCGAAATTCGACCGCTTTTTCCAGTTTTTAAGAGGCTTGGAGAGGTTTTCTAACTTAGAACGTAGCTAAGCTTATAAGGTACAAAGTAACATGCCGGTAAATCTTATGCTTTGGAACTAAACCGTGTCTAAAATTTTTTATATCCTTGAAAGTCTTTGGAGGACTTCGGCAAGACTTGGAATTGACCCGATACATTCCAGTTTATCGATAAATTTCTATGATTTGATACATATATGCAGATAATTCAATGAATTTCAAAACCTCTAAAATCCGATAACTCAACGATAACTCAATGAAACTCGATAACGCGACAAATTTCAATAAATGTGAAATTCGAGGGCTTGATATATTTCGATAACTCAAACTCAAAAAATTAATTTTTCTAAATTTTTCATTACAAACGTAGGGAAAATTGGACTTCAAAAAATAAAATTTTATTTAAATCTCTGACTCTTTGCCAATAAAAAATTACAAATGGATTTTTTTGATACAACCAATATTTATCGAGCTTTGATGTGATAAACTTTATATAGCTTTCCCCCAGACACCTATATTTCAGATATTGTATAATTTTTGCAAATTTTAATTTTTTACATACCTCGCGTTTTGCCATATCTTAGACGTATTTCTACATTATACTCAGTTTATATCAAAATCGAAAAAAAATAATCATAATTTTCATTGAAATAGCTTGGAATGCCTCATATAGACTCCACAGACTTTAAACTTAGACTTAACAAGTTGACTGCCATTCGATTTTTCCAGCTCATTGGGAATATACCAACTCGGATATACTAAATGTGTACATATAAAAAATAAATGCATATTTAAAACTTTTAGGAACACTTAAGGGATAACATTCCCCTCCGCTTTAATGACAACATTTGGAGCTTTATGGCTTTTAAGATGTTCGCACGTTACTTCAGGCATGTGCATTAAAAGCGATAGAAAATATATATGTACCACTCGTATTTTGGCAGCGGCCATGCCAAACTTCAGAAAACTCATAGTCTTAAAAGTTGCACCAATTTAAAAACAGAAACCAAAACTAAGAAAAATATTTCCATAAACATTGAAAACTTTAAA